TCATGCCACTGCTCTGTCACTGGGGATATCCAGCTGCATTTTTGTTCCACTGTGTCTCCATCAAAGATGGGAAATCAAACAATACTATTTTGTATTGCTCCAGGCCCACAATTTCCCCGATCCCTGCCCGGGTCATTGTTCCAGAGCTGTCAGCGAGTCTTTGAATCCATCATCAACCTTTCAAGGCCTTGCCTCCTGAGTCAACCATGGGCCGTACCACAGGATGCTGGGGCCAGGACGAGGAAACCCCAGCAGACGCATAATCCAGAAGGAATGGATGGGATCATATCCGCGTCCCATTTAAGAATAGTACTTTCCAAAAATGAGTGAGACGAGAATCTGTGAGTGACCTCAGACAAGGGAAGGTCCCTGTTAGCATGTACATAAACATCAAATAGTTTGTAAAAAGAGTAACACATTGAGTGGGTATACTTTTTTCGTTACCCTTTGAACTTTTATTTTCTTAGTTTTCTCATATATAATTTGCAGGGAGATACAGAGAGATAGACAGAGAGAGGAAGACAGACAAGACCGAGAGAGAAAGTCAGACCTAGAGAGATCCTTAATAAATCTAGCGGTTGGGACATGCCTGGCATCCCAATGGCTAATGAAAGCATCATTATCACTGGAGCAAGATGACTGGACCCATAAGAATATGCTTACAGACAGCTTAAAGCAATCCCGCCTGTCCCCCCTACTTTCTTTAACTGCCATTAGACCCACGCTGTCTGGCTATTTCCTGCTCCCTGGGCTTGAGTTTATTTGACTATTTTGAATACAGTAATATGAGATGACACAATGAAGCTCCCTGTACACATTACAGTGGCAAGCCTCAATGGGTGTTTGGCAGATAGAGACTGCTCCGAGGCTCACATTGCTCCCAGCTACTTAAACTTCTGCTGACAGATTCTGAAAACTGCACTCCATGTGTTTGTGTTAGGAAGGTCCTGCTTTCAAAATGGCTACTCAAGAGATTAGTTTTTTGTATAAAGGATCAGTTATTGGGAGGTTATTGGTATTTACAGTATATACTTTAAAATAGGATTCATTCAGACAATAAACCTCGGAGCTAACAATACATTGTGTGGTATATCCAATTTATACGCCCTGTCATTATTGTCAATGGTGTCCAGATTTTGTGGCAGGAAAGCCGCTCGAAACCCTGCATGATTTACAGGAAAGGATTCGTAGAACATGCCAGGTTTTTTCTCAGTTCTAGTTGAACTGCTATTCAAGTGGTCTGGTAAAAAAAAAACGCTAATGATTTTCAGTGTTATAGCCGGGTAATAGTTGTTTGGCTAACGCTCCATTAGCAGCCTTAACAATGAGCAGTGTGTGTCTGAAACTCTGCCAAAGACTTGCTGAAAAATAGCCACTACTTAACATCACTGGCAGGAGTTTGTGAATTTTGCTGCAAGACACCATAGGCAGTGTGTGTAAGCCTATCCTTTATATTTTGCTGTTTTCAAAGACCTATTTAGCAGATAATAGATGTATAGTGTACATCAATATTTGTATATATCTTAGAACAGTCAGCTACACTCATTTTTTGTATATTTACTTTAGTAATGCTTTTTTTGTGAACACACTAAATACTCACATAATTAGGTAAGCCTATTGGGAAATATGTTAGCTCAATAGAGATTTTTGTATGGCAAACGTGATGCACGGACAGCAGATTTTGTATTATTACAAATTAATAATTGAATTTAAATTAGGTTCCCAGTTTCTTAGACCCTGATAGTGTGTTCTGCTCAGTAGCATGGCACATGTTTTGAATGAATGTGAGATATTGTTAATGATATTAGTCATTTCTGTGCTCTTCTGCTACGTTGAGTCAAAGAGATTCACAGCGTTTTGGTGGACAGGTTCACCATGGGTAGATTTTCTATTCTGCCGCAGATAAAAGCAGAGGTAGTTTGGAATGTGTCCCCCACAGTGAATAAATCTGTCATAAAAGATAAGCAGAGGGACACAACAAAGGACCACAGGCACAAGAGAACAGCTAACTACTGAGGACCTTTTTCCTTTCTTTTTTATGTTTAGTATTTATCCAACATGATGACAATGCTGAGAACCCACGGATCTTTTAAAAGTCGATTTAGTTACTCATATTCAAGGTCCAAAAAAAAAAAGGTGTGGAGACATTATATCTGGGTGCATATATTTTTTGATTTCCTAACCAGTTCACCTTACATTATCTCTGTAGCAGTAAGATTAAATGCACATTAGGGTGAGTTTTTTCCTTTAGTATTTTTCTAAAATCAACTGTAAATCCCCATTTTTAAAGCTTCATATCTTTCTGGGAGGCAATGTCCCTGATGAGATATTGAACAGCAAATGGAGGGAGGCATTGTTTTAAACATTCAGTATAGGGGTGTTCAGTTCATGTGCAGTTCAAGCTTAACACAATATGTGACAAACAGTATTTACTACACTTTCTAAAAGGGAGAAAAGCCACAGATTGTGAAGTGATAACTTGCATATAAGTGACTGCTGAGTTATTAACCTTGTAAACAAGTGCTTGTTTATGCCTATACTGAACAGTTAAAGCCAGCAACTTGTGAGTGCACTTCTGAACTGAAACCCAAAGCCTGTGACTACAACAGTAAGCTAGTGTAGGTCAGGGTGGGTGGATGGTCATGAAGTAAGTCTGACCTCCATAGATGAGATCAACATTTATCTTTCATCTTCATCGAGTAACAAAAGCTGTTTCTCCATTTTAGTGGTTAAACCTAATTTTATTGTGCCATGCTATGTGAGAAGCAAGCCTCTCTGTGTTCAGCTCTTAGATCTTGAATCCTGTAACATAATATCTGTGGTTTGGAGTTTAGTTGCAGTCTTTACAGTACTTTAAGAAGTCTGGTTATAACGCTATTTACCAGTGATACGATATTGATTTTGTTCACTCAATACAATAAACTATAATTTCCTGCTATGACAAAAGGTGGACAATTATTTTAAATGTTTACTTAGGCTAAACACGTTTTTGCTGCATCATATTTGAAAACCAGGCCTTACCACATTTTAGTTGCTGAACCTAAAATTGCAAGATTTAATAATTTCATTAAGTTGTAATGCAATTGGGAGTTTTGCAGTATTGTCCAGGATCACATTTCTGAGTAGTGACATTACCACATATTGACCATGTTGACTGAAACACACAAAGCTAAGAGAAGAAAAAATACCTGCCAATAACAGCATTTATCAGGAAAACCACCATATCCATTTTACAGAGCTCATCAGCCAAACAGACGACACGAAGCTCATCCTTGGGACAAAGGGATTGGGATGTGAGAGACCAAATGCCTGCATGTCACAAAGAGAAATTCTGCTGAGCACCCGCCCACTAATGCATTCATTTTGTTTTTGAAAGGATTAGAGCCAATTGGCTTTTAAAGCACATATACTGTATAGACCAATTTGATTGTGGAAAGGTTTTATGTATCGACGAGACACTGTTGAGGCACACAAACCGCTAATGGTAAGAGATTGTTTTGAACTTCATGGAAACAGATGCAAGGTGATACTATAGCATGGTCTTTTCAACCTTTTTTTCAGTCAGCAGTCATTAAGTTGGAAACGGAAGCTCAGTTCAAAGAGAGCCAAGTTCAGTCTTTGTAGGACATTTGGATTCACATTGTTACCCTTTTGAATTGACTCTTGTTCAACTTGTCTTCTGATGGAAATGTCTCTAAAAGTCAGGGACAGTGTTTTAATTTCTTCAAAAGGCATGCTGAGTATTTGGTGAGTTGAGCCAGTGTGATAATCACAATCTAACACTGTTAATTACACATCTACAAAGAGAATTTTGGTGTTGAGCATAACTTCATTACTTGGTTTACATTTTAATAAATAGATCAAATACCACACACAAAGCCTTTCAAACGATACAAAAGCTCACACCAATGCTGACTGAGGGTCAACATCAAGGTCTGTATTCATATAAGCATTTCAATTTCACCCAAACATTCCCCTTTGTCAAAAATGATTCCTGGCTTCAGTTGCAGTCAGATAATGATTACCCATGAATGCCTATCAAATGATTGGTTTGAGAAATGTGTTTTATCATACAATGCATCTGCAACTGTCAATGGTTCTCTTCTTGTCACTTACACAAAATGAAAAGAAAGTGTGGTGGACTCAGAATACTAATCCAATACAAATGATCTGTAGCACATAGATAAACGTATAGTATTAAATAATTTCAATTATTCATCACAAATGTTGAACAAGAGATAATTAAAACTATTACAAGTATCGATCATGATATATTAATCATTTCATAACTATTGCTAGTCATACATTTGGTGTGTTAGACAATGGTATATGAAATATGTGGCGCTATCATAAAGGACAACCTATCAATGTGATGAGATGCTTTTACTGTACGATTATGAAGGAAGTTTCATAAATTGGAACATAGTGGAGAGGTGAGGCTGTTTTTTCACCTGTACTGATCACCGGCAGGTCACGTGTTAGGCCTCTACTTACTGCACACGTGACATGTGCATCTTCACTTTCGTTAGCTCAGTCTGTACAAACCTATGGTACAAACCTGCACCTGGATCTACACCAGTCAGTTTAAAAGAAAAATAATAATGTACTATTTTTATGTTGCGCACGTCTGCCCGATTAGTTAACTGTCTAAATCTAATAATGTACATGTCAGATGTTATTGCTTGGAACTTTCACGGCTAGTGGTTAATGACTTTCCCATACTTCGGCAAAGAGACTTCAATCATGGTTTACCGACCTATTTTATTTTCAACCATAAAACTGCGAAGCCCTTTAGGTCTCCCCAGGAGAGGGATTAAAATACCTGGGACCCCGGGAAGGCGTCTGTGGTGCGGTTGTTTGATCCGAAGCTCAGACCGAGTGTTTCTTTAAGTGCGTGTGTGGAGTTCTCCTGCGCCGGGTGAAAGGAGGGGTTGGAGAGTGACGCTGCGCCTTGGTGCTGAGCGGAGCGCTCACCTGCAGATGAGAGAGCCGGGGAAACTCGGGCCAGAGCTGCAGCACACTCACGGAGCGAGGAGGGACCTAACGAAGAGACTGAGCAACAAGGGGAATTTACACAATTACTTGAGAAGATTCGCGAATCTATCCTCTTTCTTTCTGGTTCCTCGTCCAGGCAGCCCTGGCTCGCTCGCTCGCCACGATGAGAACTGACTTCGCTCTGGTCCTGACAGCAGCCCTTCTTTTTGACACGTTCGGGGTGAGCTTTCGCTTTTGTCTTATAACCTCTTATTCTGTGTAGAGGAGTTGTGAGAGTGCGGGGCGCATGACGGGTGCAGGGTTTCACAGCCATAACGCACAGGCTTGAATAAAGTCATGGAGTCCAGTGTCAGTCCAGTGTGCTGCAGCGCTGCTCGTTATTTCCCTACAAGTACGCAAATAGGTTACTAATGAATGACGATGTTTCCGAGATAATATAATGAAGAAAGTAAAGAGTGAACGACCCAGCACTGTCTAATCTGAACCTCGCCAGATATTCTCTGGAACGCTGCGTATTCATCACTGCAATATCCTCCACAAGTTAAAACTGCAGCAGCTTTTTATCACTCGGGATGATTGTATTCTTTATCAAACTATTTGAGTCATCACGCTTATTTTTAGCGGAACCTTCCTTTAAAAGGCTCCCTTGACCAAACAGCATCCGCCTGCAATAAGTTAACCTTTGAAGTTGTAAGGTGCTTTTCAACCGTTTCTCGTCATTTAATCAATACAAGCTGAATTAGGTCGGCGCCGGTGGGCTTCTCCAAACGGTGCACCAAGGAACCATGCTAAATCTTTCCCTCTGCCACTTTTTGTGTCTAAAGCCATTACTTATGCCATGTAAATTTAGGAAAATGACGAGATATTTTTTCCTGCGGTATTCGTTCCCAAGAGGGGCATCTTTAGTGCATTATGTCTCCTCCACATTCAGGCTCCAGCCAGCCTTGGCACCATGTGTCTTTGTGCGCGCACACATTGACTTTTGTGGAGGCTGCAGTGGGTCAGATCGTTCAATTTAACCAACAGCAAGCTCTGAATGCTTTGTGCAAAGTTTTCACAGGCATGCACTGCTCAGTTTCTCCTCAGTTCTCTGCTCCCCTCTGCTAGTGTAACCCAGGTTCAGGATGAAAACATTCTGATGCATATACCGTGTGTGTGTGTGCGGGTGTTTGCTGTGTATCTCACTTAACCATGACCACAATACTTACAATAAAATCCCCATTTAATCATTGCCTGGTTTCCTGTTATGGAGCAAGTTATCCATAACAGATATTGCCTGAGCGTGGGTATTTAATGTTCCCAGGAGCATATAGTTTATAAACTTGTTGAATATATTTCTGCTAACTGGTGTACAATTTGCTGGCTTTCTCCAAAGCTAAAGGCCAGAAATCAATGGAATCCATGTTTATCGATGTCTTGCTTTCTATTCTCTTCTTTCCAGAGGAATAATGGGGAGCAAGCTTCCAAAGGTCCCTGCCGACCTGGCTTCTCACAAAGCTTCTACTCTGTGCTGATTTCAAGGGATGTACTGCAAGGCCATGGCACACTCAAAGGTAAGACCTTTAATTGGCGTGTCAGTTATATTCAGTTTTGTCCGGAAAATGTACATCGTGAGAGCTCAAAATGAGATCATGGCAGTGAAAGAAAAATATATGTGGTGATGTGTTTTCTTTCAATGCAAGGCCATGTCCTTTTCATGTTGTGTAAGTAGCATTTATGTATTTAAAAACACTGATGCAAAACTTTAAAAAGTTGAATTCTGTAAATTGTTGCATGTGTGAAGCTTAAAGGCGATTATTGTAAACAAAGTATACTGTGAACAGAAATGAGATGGTCAGGTTAACTCTGCGCCTTTAAGTCGGTATATTGGTCTGCTGTTGTAAGGCTGTGCTTCGATGTTGCATCTTCACACAAAGAATCACATGTTTTCAACATTTGAGGTCAAAATATATGTGGTTGCGTTTGATCACACTTCAAATGCTTTTATTTGACATGCTATCCTTTTTTCTTGTTTTCCTACATTGCTCAACCTTCTTACCATTATTATTATCATCCCTATCTTCATCACCATAACCTCATGTACCTTCACACTGCAGTGTCTTACCCAGTTGTGTGTGTTGCTCCAATTACGAAGTGAGCCAACTTAGTTTGGGGGCCCGATAGTGCAGGAAATGGGATCGACATCCTGTGTCTAATCTGGCACTGCTCCTGCCAATGTGGGCTAATTGCAATTCTGTATTGATCCAAATGTTTTTTTTCCTCATAGCTCAGCTAAACTGTATTGTTTTGCTGTGGGCACACAATAGCTCTTTTATGGGTCGGCAGTGTTTTCGGCAGCGGCACAATATATATTTCTCATTCTGTTGGGGATACAGCTGTCTAAACCCGACACTGCTCTTGAGTATACATAAGCGTATAGTTTCACACAGTCGGTTAGATTAAGGATATACAATAGGTTTCAATGTATTGCTTTTGGGTTGTTTTTTCTCTTGTTTGTGTATATTTGTGTTTGGAGTGATATGAGGCTGAAGAAGATATCCGCTTGATTTTTAGTGATTCATTACTTTCAGTATATTGTAGCCTGCATGGCTGGAGGTGGGATTGGATATGGGACGTTGTTGCTGGCAGTGAGCTTGCTCTCTGTGAGGTAGTGATATTTTCAGCCCAGCAGGGGGTGTCAACACAATCACAAGCAATCACAGAATGAGCCATCACTGCTGCACAGGAGCCGTGCATTTCAGAGAGCATTATTTATCCGGTTTGGTCTCAAAGAGATGAAAATGTCTCTGTGTTTCCGTTCAGACATAAACTAATCTTTGGAGGTCCAACAGGGATGCTTTCTGTACAAGGAATTCAATTGGCTACTGACAAAATAGGTTTTAGTGGACAACATTATCCACATAAACACAAAAGTCAGCTTCAAACATTGCTATGTTTTCAGACCAAAAAACATGATTCTCTCCCTTCATTAAACATACATGCCTGTAATTCATTTTCAGTATTCCCATTAAATTCATATTCAAAGCATATGCTTTTATTTAACATTTGTCATTTGTTTCCAATGTGATTTTAAAAAGACTCGAACTAGAGTAACATGGGCTCATCTATGCTGTGACACGCTCACAGCTGCAATGTCATCTTCATGCGCGTCTGAGAGCACAGCTGCAGTGGCCACCAGGCACACACAGAGACACACACACAGAGACACACACTCAGAGACACACACTCACACACATCGTTTGTGATTTACAGGGCTCAGGCAGTTGATTTATAGTTTGTAAGGGTGTCGCTGGAGGGAGGCAGGAAGCTACTCTGGAAAGGCTTTAATAATAACATTGTTTAACCCAAAACCGTCAGATGGGGGCAGGAGTAATGACACCCACTCACGCACACACTCACCCACTCCGCATTCACACGCACACACCCACACACACACACACACACACAAATATATACATTCATTCGTGTTAGCCCCTGGGGGAATAATGGGAAGGACAGAACTAGGACCTTGGTCATGATGGGGAAGATGTGAGGGTCTAGACAGGAGGTCGGCTTGGAGGTGGAGGGTGTTGCATTTCACATTTTGTCATTTTGAATCACACTGTAGTACCAAATTACCATTAATGTAACAGACTATGGTAGTTATTGAAAACCCCACAGCAAATATGATGACAAAGCCAAAGCAATGATCAAAACCAAGGATACATCTCTGCCACATTGGAAATTGTATCTAACATGGTAATATGAATTGCAAATTCTATCAAATGCATTTTTGAATTGCAACCTTGTGTTACTAAACTGCTCCTCCCTTTTTCATTATTTCTTCAGCATCCCAATTTGTTACTCATTTCCATTTTCAGCCGTCTCTGGAGTTATTTTCAGCCTTCCACAACTTTGTTTTTGACTAATCTTCTTTTAATCAGCAGTGATGCTCATTTACATCACCTCCTAAAAATTCCCTGTGTTTTTGGCCAACTATGGATTTTTATCGATAAACAAAGTGTGTCCAATAAACATTTCCAGGAGTAAATTCTACACCCTGCATTGTTCCTGCTGAGTGAATTGATTTGCTCTGTATTCATCTGGAAAACCCCTGCCAGTTGCCAGAGTTAATGGCTGAGACGCACATAAAAACAGGACACTGCTTAGTTTGTGCTGGAAGAGTGTAAGGTTGTAAACTGGACATTTAATGGTTATTTCAAAATGTTATCTGCACTTCTCACAGAGCAGTTTAGAGGGTCAGATGGTGTTTTTATTTACATTTTAGCAGCAAATAGGTGTCTGCCTCTATATAAACAGCAGAGAAACTGTAGGGGTTTAAGCGGTGAGAAAATGATTTAAAGGGCTGATAGGTCTCATTTAGTTTGTGTGTGGGTGGGTGCTTGCGTGTGTCCATACGTACATTATTACTTACCGCCGCATGTACATGTATGACACATTTGGTGCTGAGGACGCCCACTGTCTTTTATGCCTGGCTTTCATTAGAGCCATGACTGCTTCTTTACCACTCAGTCACAGGCACCATTAGAGCCAGAGCTCTGCCAGGCCTGGTTAATGTTACACACTAAATGACTTATACACACACACACACACACACACACACACACACACACACACACACACACACACACACACACACACACACACAACTCACTCAAAAAAAGAAATCCGCTGTAAAATATGTATAACAAAGTTCTTCAGTAAGGGTCTGTTTTTCGCGGCGTCGAAAAGCACAGTAAAGAAAATGTGAACGTTTGATATTCGAATCAACAATGGATGCTGTCACGATGTTTGGAGTGTTTTGTATTACGTAGACGAGAGAGTAGGAGTTGGGCCCGGGCCAGACTCCCTCAGACAAACAGAGCCAGCTAACGTAACCCCATCCCATGTGTCCCCTCATCCCCTGTGCTGAGTCTCTTCCTGGTAATGAAAGCCAGGGCCGGCGGTTTCAGCTCAGTGGGCCGCTCTGCTGACCTTGGACTTTGTTTGGGTTACTTGTGGTTTTGGGCAGTTCTCACTTTCTGTGTGTGTGTGTGTGTGTGTGTGTGTGTGTGTGTGTGTGTGTGTGTGTGTGTGTGTGTGTGTGTGGGAGAAAGAGGGGTAAGCGTGTTTGAAAGACATATTGGTAATGTGTTAAGTGCTTCTTTTGGACATACCTGAGCTATGATTTAATGTAATGACAATGCTGACGTCTCACAAGGAATGGGAGAATTTCTCTGCAGTCATCGCTTTCTTTTTAGAAACTCCACTGGTGCTTGGCTCCATTTTGAAAATTAGATCCCCTCCTTTAGCTCATCAGCCAGAATGAATGGCCTGAATGTCTGAATTAAGCTGGCCATATCTGTCCTTAACCCTCATGGCCAGCCGCAGGGTTGCTATTGTACTCATAAATACATCTGCAGATGCACTGTAAGCACTCTCTCGCTCTCTCTCATCCTTACATACACACATATACGCTCTCTCACCCTCTTACAGGCATACCCTTACAGTCTATTACACTGTCTTTATACACTGCCATTCAGTAGAGATTCACATTGCAGCATTTGGCATTTAAATCTATGCCTTGCCTGTCTGACCCACATCCCTTCTCTCTCCCTCCAGTGGCACCTTGTTTCTGTCATATTCAAAGCATGGCAGTTGCCCACTAGAAGGATAAACAGAATCCAAGAGAAATGGCTGAGAGAGCTTTGCATTCTGAATAAAACAAATTGTTCAGAGCTGTGAATTAACTTTTTTTTCTCCATAGGATAATATTTTCTAAAATCTCTTCCAGAATGCCCTGGGTGATGAGTCTCCCTTGCCTCGGTCGGTGAAGCTTTCCTATGAGGATTTAGGAGATTTTTTCAAAATCCAATTGCTGGCCTGTTAGTTGACTGTGCGTTTTGGACTGTATTCTGAACATCATTTTGCATTTTAAAGTGCATAATTTGAAATACAGTATACATATACATTTCTTTGCACATAGCTATTTTCATAAGGAAAAATGACTCAATTTCACAAATAACCTTACAGGATCCCATGGCTTGGATGTTAATAATATACCAAGAACTATATTAAAAATAAACTTCTCCTCTGCCCAAAATCTGACACACACCCTTTAGTGGTTCAGAGTGGTGATGTGGGACAGACGTCCGCTTCCATGGAGTGACTCATAGGGCCCTGAATAAAAGATGCCATTTCTTTTCACACACTCCACAGGGATGGACAATACATCAATTTTCTCTTTCCCTTCACCCTCAAACTGAATTAGATTGTTTTGAGTTGCTGTTTACCTTTAGCCCCAAATCTCATGATACAGAGCCCGCAGTGTTATCTGGGTCGATAGCAGACAGGCGTCCTCATGGAGATTAGACCTTTATTGGAATACAGCCTCCTTTTGTTTCTCTCTGTTCCTGCCTAAATCACTCCCATTGTTTCCTTTCATTATTACTTTAGGATCTCGGTGTCTCACTTTATTCTAATCTTTCACAAAGTCCTATCTCTCTTTTCTTTTGTCGTTCTGTTTCCTTCATGTTTTCTCTGTGCAACCATCTAATCTCCTATTAAAATGCAA